TTTCTCCAACCACCTGAATAAGACGCTATGTTGTAACAGTGTTCGGTACGTAAAATTGACGTTTTGCGGATTAATCGCTTTCACCATGGCAACTGTACAAAAAGTAGATACTTTTGGTCCTAGTACCAAAAAGAAATTGACCTTGAAAGTTGGCCAATTAAAAAATTACAATCACGGAGATATGTCACAATGACATCGTTTTACATTGCAGGTTGTAAGATATTTCTAGGTATACATACAAATCAAATATTTTTGCATATTCAATGCTAATAATGCTGTTACCTATACGTATGTACATGTATTGAAAATGATTTACGCTGGCTATTTTTATTTAAACCATGTGTAACGTAATTTACATATTCGGCGAACGTAATTTTAATACGTATACAACCCGCTGTCGCGCGTAACGCCATCTACTTCAGACCCATTGCACTATTATCTGTCATTTTGAATTCAAAATTTGAAAAAGTTAATTGCAATTAATTTTAATTAAAAAACTGTATGGTAAGTTTTTTATTTTAATACAAAATATAACAATATTAATTGTGTATACAATAGAAATGACAAACTGATAGCGACATGGATTGCACTCCGACAGAGATTATAGAAACGGCAGAAGATGCTACCTTAGATTTGCTCCCTACAAAGTCGTGAGAGGTAAGAACGAATAGGTTATAAGTTAACCTAACAACTAGAGTGGCACGACACGTGAGGACAAGAAAGCAGAAGTTCTTATACCTAGTAGTGAAACTGTGACTGAATCTAAATTCGAATATAATTTGAAGTAAAAGGGGGTTGGAGAAAAAATGTTATGTTTTATTCGTACAAAAAATGCGTTTTCGGGACTCGGAAGGTTGCTGGACTCCGCTAACGCGTCGTCCAGCAACTATCTTCCTCGTCCCGAAAACTGACATTTTTTGTACTAATGAAACAAATAACTATTCTTTTCGGCTTTCTCCTTTGTACTGTTTTTAATTTTGTATTTCATTACAGATAATCCACACTTAATATCTGCCTCTATGGACATCGATTTAGATGAATTGAATAATACGATATACTGTAAACCATTCAAAAATGCCGGAGATTTATGCGTGGGTGATAAATACAAGGTCCTGAATCTTAACATCATCTCGACGAAATATGGTTCCCGGGCGATGGTTGAAACGGCCGATTTTAAATGTGTTTTACCTGAGAGGTATTACCACTTCTTTACGGATGATTCACGTATGGACGCTTTCAATCAAAAACTGCGAAGAATCGACATCTACCTGATTAGTTTAGGGGCAGCCGGAAAAACAACTAATTTAAAGTTTGTTTAAATTGCATGTTTGTATTGTGTATGATGAACCCTATGGTAATAAAAGCTATAAAACTTGATGACTTGTATATTAACTGACACTAATAGTATATTATTATACGAGTTTAATAAGACGCTGTATTATCACACGAGTGTGATAATACGTCTTATTAAACAAGTGTAATATACTATTTTATCTACTTTGCTTTACTGAATTCTTGAAATTTCGGCTGCTCAATTTACCGTATTAAACTAGGGTCTTTTGTGACAGTTGATAACCCTGTATGTTCAAAGTTGATAACACTGATCTAGTAGCAGTGAAACAAATTCAAATAATCTGTCATTTAATTTGGATGTACATTTTTTGAAATGGAAGCCGAAAATGACTTTACTTGTACACCGCCAGATATACGCAAAGCCGCACAAGAGGCTACTGAAAATTTGCTGCCAGCAAAATCCAAGCCGGCATATGAAAAAGCGTACCAGGCTTTCACAGAGTGGTGTCGAGGAAATGGTGTATTAAGTGTAAGTGAAAATGTCCTTCTTGCGTATTTTCAAGAGTTGAGTAACACCAAGAAATCTTCAACACTTTGGACAGCCTACAGCATGCTGAAAGCTTGCTTGAATATTCATCAGAATAGGGTAGATGACAAATTTTTGACAACTTAACTTAACTTTAAAATATGATATTTCAGCAAAATAAATCATATTATTGGAAATTTATGCAATTTAACAGCGTTTTGGCGCTAAAATAAAAACCTACAATAGGTTTTTATTTTAGCGCCAAAACGCTGTTTTGTGTCATGGCGGTGTCTGTGACGTCACAGTTCTGACAATTATAAACACATAACCCCAGCGTATATAGTTTAAAAGATTTCGTGATGAATTATAACCACCGTAAGTGGTGCCCTACCATGGAGTACACTTTGTCGCGGTGTAGGGCTCAGTAGTCACATTTTTCTGTGGCACAGCTAAGTATCCCAGGCGGGTAAATCTGGTTCCAAGGATGCTGTATCATTAAAATGCTTCATGGAGTAGAGAAATCCAAAACGGTTTTCGACGATTGCTCATTAAATGTAATATAGAAAACTATATTGACATGAGTAGCGCATTTTTCACGTAGGTACGTTAACTCCTGACGCGTGCGGTAGACGACAATTTGGACAACTTTCGAATTCGATTGAGCCATTTGCCGATAGAGTTTCGAATAATCGGACTAGATCATGACTTGTTAAACGTGATAAAGGAGACTTTATCGACACTAGTACTCCTTTGGACTCTGAGGGTTTGTAAAAGTAGCTTGATGGTAGGGCAAAGAAAAGAATTGTTTTCTTCGTCGACAGCTAAGGAAACTGCATACAGGTTTGCGTGAACCGTATGTTGCGGGCAAATTTTGACTTAACTGTGAATAAGTTGCCAGAGTCTTCTGTTCGACTGCACCCAATGTAAGAGGGGCCGCCATAAAAACTGTTTTTCCAAAAAAATTTGTTTTAAGAACTACTTTATAAATTTAGACCTTTATCTACAAAATGTTTGTAACAGAAAACTCTTAAAGTGGGCATAGCTTACTGAATCATCTCCATATGATTATGGATGTTTTCTGATGAACAAAAATCTGTGTTTGATGCAATAAATATTAACAACATCATTTCATCAATGTTTGGCAGATTTGCTGCTATCAGCTTTCGTATACCCACTTTCCATTCTTATCTGGTTTTAAAAACTAAACTTTATGATAATATAATCACTATAAAATGCAACAAGCACTCAATTAAAAAACGTGGACAAACTCTACAAACGCACAGAGGATTAGGATAATGACGTCACGCGCTCTGATTGGCGTTTGATATCACGTGACAAATGTCGTTATTTTTTAATTTTAGTTTTACTAAAATATAATAGTTTCTCGTGTACATTACCAAAGAAAGTTATTTTTCGATACCCTGACACCTTACTCTATCTTATGAAACAAAAATTTCTGTATTCTTTTTCCACTGTCATGTACCCTATTGTGATATCTCGCCTTTCTAAAGCGACAGTCTCAAGGCTATCAGCCCAAAAAATCTAGGATTTTGGATGCTGCTGACATAAATCAGTTTCTGGTACGTGCTGATGACTTGCAATATTTGGCAATGAAAGTAAGTGTTTTTGAAAATCAAGTTTAACTTGAACTTACTTAAGTATTCATTTTTTAGGTTATACTTGCTGGAGCATGTAGACGTGATGAGATCACAAATATGTCCACTGACGATGTTGACTATAAAGAAGACACAATTCTCGTCAGAGTTCCTAAAACTAAAACAAATGTGGCAAGATTATTTGTAATAACCGACGCTCACTGGTTGCTCCTTATTAAAAAATATGCAAACCTCCGACCCTGTAGTACCGCTACGAAGCGATTCTTTCTGACATACAGAAATGGCAGATGCACCACGAGCCCTATAGGAATCAATAGCTTTATTCGATTTAGTTGACTATGCGCGCTATATATCACTTTCGTCACATTGTGGGTATTCGTTTTAGAACCGCAATTTGACTGTGGCTGCCGTTACGTTATTCGTTTTACATTTTCTGCGTCAACACCGTGTCAAGTTTGTGTTGCCGCACGGAACACATGCTAAGGGAGCATGTTCTAGTTGCGTCAAATGTCAAGAGTTTGTTGTTTTAGGTTACGGTAAAAGAATTTAAGTTTTTTAGCGATCGTTTAATTTCAAAAATTATGGAACAGGTGCGTTTTTATGTTGATGTCGTTGAACGTGATTATACATGGTTTCGGCAAAAGACTACATCGGCGACTCGACGATTTATTATTTTATTTTTTCAGCCTGGGTACATTTGTTCCGTGTGCAACACAAATGTAGGACTGACCACCTCAGCTGCAAAGCACCATGACTGCATGGAGGGTCATGAAAACATATGGATAGTGGACAATTACATCTACCCATATGATCCTACTTCTCAAAGTGAAGAATTCCATACTGAATTGAGCGACAACTCTAGCGGTAAGTACACTTTGGAACTGTATACTTGGAAATTGTCTATAACAAGACCTACTATTTTCAGAATCAAATTTAAATGTAGATAATGAAGGACATTCCTCTGCTACACCACAGCTGTGGCCACTTCAAGCTAAGAAGTTATTAATAGAATTGTACCCTAAGTATCTGAAACGTTTTTCAGATAGAGTAATTATTTCTAAGGAACAAATGTTTGCCAAACTAACAGCTGAATTAAATGAGTATGGATATAAATACACTGCTATGCAAGTAAAGTACAGATGGCGATGCTTCGAAAAGGCTTATAAAAATTTTGCTAAGCATACAAAAAGTACAGGTCGAGGTTATAAGAAATTCGAGTTTTACGATGAGCTGCATGATATATTTCAGAAGGAACCAAGATTCTACCCAGAAGTACTCACTTCAAGTGTAGCAACAAAAACTTTGCAAGAAGAAAATGCACTTCCTCAAAATGAAAATGTGCTTCCAACAATGTTAAGTTTTGTCTTCAAACTATAGCCTTTTGTTAAAATATTTTTTTAGTGAGGCGCCACTTGCAAATACAATCACAACCATAACGCAAAACCCACCACAAGGTTTTAATGTTCAAAAGAAAGGTTACAAACCTACATCTATTGTTCTGGAAGGAATACATGCAGAAATGAAACGGAAAAATGATCTAACTGAACAGAAATTAGCCATAGAGAAAAAGAAAAATGAATTGTTAGAACGCAAATTGGAGTTAATGAGTAAATACTTAGCAGAGAAGGAGAAGTCGGAGATTTAAATTGCTCATGTTGTGTTAAGTAATATGTAATATTTAAGTATAATGACTTATATAATGAAATAAATTAAGTACACATTCTTTATATCACACTTGCAATATAATTTCTTTTTGCTGCACCAGCGACATTTTCATCTTCTATGGCAGTTATATCCAATGGATTATGTTCACAATCAAACAACAATTTATCTTGTATTTGACATAAATTATGTAACACACAACACGATTTAACCAGGCTTTGAATATAAAATTAGGAAGAAGTCTAAGCCTGTACTTTCGCGTGGGTCTCTAAAAGTACCTTGAGCGATAGATGGAGCCACGAAATGAACGTGAAAAGTACCTTTGGATTTATATACGCGCTTTCCGAAGGCAGTCACTGCTCTTCCTTCTTATAGCGCGTTTTATATGTAGGACAAAGATAGCCTGAAGTCTCCCACTTTCACTCATTGATTTGTTACCGTACTCTTATGTTGATAGTAGGCGCGCGTACATAATTGAAAACGCTGCAAATACCAATTTAGACACAGAAAATTTCATAGAACAAAAATTGTAGACCATTAAATTTACTATAAAAAAGTCCGTGACGGCATATATCTATCTTTAATCGTTTAGCCTTACCAACCATTTAAAGTTGTACCTAGTGTCCTCGTTGGTTTCAATAATATCTTTGAACGCTTATCATATATTAATGGTTAAAGATACATATATGCTGTCGCGGACTTTTTTGTAGGAAATTAAATTCTCTACAATTTATGTTTTATGAGTTTTTCTGTACGAAGTTTCGTTTTCACGGCGTTTGAAAGTAAATGTGGGTACCTTTCGTTTTGTGACTGAATCTTAAATTCAAAGGTTGTGAGAAATTTTATGGTACGATTCAATGTTTTCTTACCACTATTTTATTTCTCTATTCGATAGGGTTTTGTGTGCTATTTAAGTTTTATAAGGAGTCTCCTGTGCCTAAACCCCCTAATTTTTAGGTTATTCAATATTTTTCACAAAACAATAATGAATTACATGTTTAATGTTTATAAACAGGATCGAGTAAGCCGTGATAATAGAAATAGAAACCAATAGAATTCCAGTAAGCAAGTGTCACAAGTAAATTATCTGCTCCAATTAATGTGCTCCCTATTTCGTAGTAAAATAAGATTAATTAAAAAGGCGAATTTCGAACTAGTCTTTTTAAAAAATCTTATTTTACTAGGAAATAATGAGTACACTTGCAGCAAACAATTAATTTATGGCACTTGTTTACTATTTGGCATTCTTTGGTTTTTTTTTATCACGGTTTACTCCTGTTTATAAACATGTAATTTATTAATGTGCAACTGCGTAGTGAAAAATATTGAATAACTTAAAAACTACGGGGTTCAGGCACAGGATATCCCTTCTAAGAATTGAAGAGCGCACAACAGACCATCGAATAGAGAAACAAAATAGTGGTAGTTCCATTTGAATAAAAATAGTTATAGCACTTTGAAATCTAGAAATTTTACAATTTTTTTGTGTTGCCTTTTATTCGAATTAAAATTATTGATTTCTATTTCTTAACTTTAAAATCAAGGTCGCTACGATTTATCAAAGTGGGGTTGGTTTATAGAGAATTATTCGAAAAAAAATTAATAATTTGGCCTGCAGAGGTTAAGAAATGACATCGAATTCGCTAAAAATAAACATACTGTTCCATTTAAAAAAATCAGCTGTGTATTGACACCGTAAACATGAGACACTCTGTACATTCAAAAATAATTTCTGTATATGCATAACATTCTATAGTTGACATTTGCACAAAAGATTTTTTGCTATTTTTTACCAGGTATGAACTAGAAAAGACCGACGCAGTGTTATAGGACCCTGTATAATTGTTATAAAACGTAAAAAAAGAAAGAAAGAATGGGAAAATTTCGTCTTTTTTGCATTTGACTTCAATTATCTCGTTATCTATTGCTCTGAGAGAAAATGAAGAGAAATAAATTTGATTAGAATCGAATTTTCTATAAGATACAGTTGGTATGGAACATTCATTTTCAAAAGTTATTGCTTTTTTATGGAAAGATATAAAAAAAGTAATCCCGAAAATTAACAATCTGTTACTAATCAAAATTCATCCTATCTTTTATATTATCCGTAGCTTGATAACGGAACAATACGGCAACCGATCACCCGATCACCGTAGATATCATAGTCATTGATTAATTAAAAATACAAATTAAAAAATCCATGCTTTGTCTTTCAAGGTGGGTGACTCCCAGATTCTCCCCCAATTATTTCCGCTAGTGGAACCCTAAGCAAACCGTTTCCAACAATTGTCCCGATGATTCTTGCAAATCGACGGACTATCAAATTTTTTTTTGGAAAATCCGAAGACTTTTGCTAGTTAACAAATGGAATAATTTCCGAAATATAACAAGAAATCTCCATAATAGGCGAACAGAAACCTCTCGGAAAATGTACCTAATATTAAAAAAAAATACGTCGAAATCCGTCCGTCAATTTGCAGAAATCATCGAGACAACATTAGGAAAAGGTTGCTTTGGGGTTCCACCATCTGTACAAAAATTTAGAACGTTATGAGACTTATCCAATTTGTTTGTTTATTTAATCAATGACTATAATACCTACCTACGGTGATCGGGTTTGTCGTATTGTTTTGTTATCAAAAGAAGGGACCAAATATGAATGATGAATTTTACTCAGTGATAACAGATTGTTAATTTTCGGAAATGCGTTTTTTTTATATTTCTCCATAAAAACAATAACAATTAAGAATGAACGTTCCACACTAAATGTATGGTCTCCATAGACAATTCGATTCTAAACAAATTTACTTGAATACCTCACCGGAAAAAAAAATGGAAAAGTTCATAAAAAATATCACTTCTCTTCATTTTTTCACTCGGGGCGATAGTTAACGTCAGTCAAATGCGAAAAAAAACATTTTCCCATTTTTTTTCTTCATTTTTTCTGTATAACAATATATTTCGGGAGTTTCCGGCCAGGGGATTATGATTTTCAGATTCAGCGGATTTTTTTACATAGAGTACATTTGGTTTTGTTGAGTGAAATGACATCCAGCCCAAACCATACTTTTGATGAATTATAGGGCTTTGCTTCACGCCCTTCTGATAGTGTATTATTAGTATGGGTAAAAATATCTGTGTAAAAAATATAGCAAACGAGCTCTTGGGTATGGCTATAGTATGTGCATTGTGCAAAACCAAATTGAACCTGGTGTTAGATTTGCCCTAAGACAGTTTGAAAGATCGTGTGACAATATCCAAGGACTGGAAAAAATTTTTCACAGCATTTTTTCTTTTTTTTTCTTTTGTTTTTTTTACCAACTTAACATATATTCTTTATATTCTTTATGTTTTCGAATAGTTTTTTTATTAACAATACATGAACATTGTTATTGGGGTAACCTGTTATGTTCATAAATAAATAAGTTGGCACTGCGCATGCGCAAAACCAAATTTTGAAAATGGCGTTACATTTGCTTTTATTCCAAGTGCATATGTAGGTATCAAATGTAATTTAAATACATTTCTAAATTTAAAAAAGTTTGCAATTCGGTTCATATATGGCCGAGATACCAAAAGAGCACTATGCATTTTGAATCGATTAGGCTCAACTTTTGCCATTGCGTATTATATTGCTAAAGCTATGCCCATATTGAATTTCATGCAATTCACTTCATAACTCACGTAGATGTCAAAAGGGCCTTCCTTATTATACTCGCAAGGAGCTCGATAATATGTGAATTGCACTAATAATAAAAATAAGAACATCGTTTTTTTCATTTCCCATTTTCGCATATTTCCCTTGCGCTTTGAGCAGAATGGCAAAAAAATAACGACAGTTTCAATTTTTACAACGCTTCGATCATCCCAACCGGAACCCCCAAAAGCACCTGAAATTATAACAACATGTAGGTCAAGGGTTCGAGTCGTACCTACGCCAGATTCTTTTTTAACTAAAAAGTTTATTAAAAGTTCAAAATTAAGATGTGCGTACATTTTTTTACAAACGCTGAGAAAACAAAAAGAGATACAAAAAAAGTTATAAAAGATAAATTGTAGAGAATTTAATTTCCTACAAAAAAGTCCGCGATGGCATATATGTATCTTCAACCCTTAATATATGATAAGCAATCAAAGATACTATGAATGCCAACGCAATCAAGATGTGCAACTTTAAATGGTTGATATGGCTAAACGATTAAAGATAGATATATGCCGTCGCGGACTTTTTATAGTAAATTTAATTGTCTACAATTTTTGTTCTATGAAATTTTTTGTATCCCAATTGGTATCGGCAGCGTTTTCATTTAAAGTGCGCGCGACTAGTATACGTACCAACAAAAGATTACAGTATTGAAATCTTCAGTGCAAACGCAATTCGGAGCATAATATTCGCTCTAAAACCGATTATATTATTATAAAAGTGGGAGAGGTACACCTTACCTCTCCTGCGATTGTCACGGATCCACAAGTTCCCATTAGGCTAGACTTCTTCCTAATTTTATATTCAAAGAACCAGGGCAACAACTCGTTCAATTTTTCGTAGTTTTACATGGTACAACTGACGAAATCGTTGCTTGAGAATGCCATTTGCATGTTCCACTTTGATTCTTAGTGAGCTATGCACTTTGTTATAGCGTGTTTGCATTCTATTAAGATGGCCATTATCTTTGTAAGGAGTAAGGCAGAAATCCAGGCATGGATAAGCCGAATCTCCTAAAAGATGTCCATCTACAAGAACTGATTATGTAATTTTTTTTATTATTTAATTAAAAATTACCTTGACATAATTCTGATAGTTGTGGATATATAAAACTTGATGAGAAGACACGTGCATCATGCACAGAACCTGGATACCCAATAAAAACATCTATTAATTTGCATTTGTCGTCACATATGATTTGCACCTGTATCGAATGGTAATGCTTCCTGTTGCAATAAGATTCCTGATGTTTTGTAGGCTTGTCGATTTTAATATGTGTCCCATCTATAAATCCTACATTAAAAATTCATTTTAATCCCGACAATCTTTACTTTAGTGATCTCACCAACGACACCTGGAAAACGTGTTCTTCTGAAAACTTCTGAACTGGTCTGCTGTATTTCTTGTTGTGAAGGCCACTTAATGACTTCTGCAGCCATTTCATCAAAAAACGCATTCATACGACTTCATTATTTCAAATAACGTCGATACTGTGATGTTGAACCGATCACCAACATCTACATATGTACAGGAGTGGCCTACATACCACAGAAAGATTTCCAAATGTTTTTTTGGTTCAACTACATCCTTTCCTTTTGCTAAAATGTACATGAATTTTAACTACTTATACATTAAAACCAAATTTACCTACTATGAAAATGTTGTAAGAAAATATGGCTTTCAGTAAAACGTTCTGTCAAACTGTTCATTAGCTCCTTTGAAATTCTAAAATGAGTTTTAAACTCATTATCATTGTAACTCACTACAGTGATTTCACTGTAATTTTTTATAGCGTTTCGCTCTGTCCTTGCTGATGAAACTATTGCACCCACTACTTCATTATCAAAATCGGAAGATGAATCTGTAGTCTCATCTTCATCGCTTTCAAAAAGTAAGCTGCCAAAAATAACATCCTCAGTAAGCGCCATAATTCAGTGCAAGTAATTTTGGAGGTTAAAAAAGACGGTTATGTTAAAAACTTTTCCAACCAGCGCATTCGTTTTTAGTGCCCTAACTTGTTTTGCCCTAAGTACAAAACTTGACTTCAAGGTTACCGACATACGTTGACGTTAGTTGGTGCGCCTTGAATTTCAAAAACGAATAAAGCTAATAAGATTAGCCAAGTGCCCCGCATGATCGCTCATTTTCTGAATCTTGCCAATGCCTAAGAGTATACCGGCCACTGCTTCCGTAGGTCCAGTGCATCAAGCTTAGCCAATAATGGTGCAGATTTGATCACCATTAAAAAACACGGAGCCTGGAAGTCTTCAACAATAGCAGAGGGGTACATTGAAGCGTCGTTGAAGAGAAAAACCGAGGTGGCAGAGCTGTTGAGACCATCGACATCCACATCTACTTCTGTTAACGTCCAGTCAGAGCCTGTACCCACTGCAACTATGAGAAATGCGAACATGAATATGCATGAGCATGAGACTACTTCCGTACACAATATTCGCGGAAATACTAACCTTAATCAAAATATTATCACCAAAAATATCCCTGGCATTACTATAAATGCGCAAGACAATAGTAATGTAGTTGTTAAAGTGTACACTAATTGTAAATTCTCTACTGATTAAATACCTACTCGTGTTGTAACTTAAATAGCTAATTTAATGTGAATAACGTGCATCTAGCCACAGAATACAGTAAACACCTCAGAAACACCGTATATTATATATGAGTGAAGTATATGGATAACAGGATAACCGCGTATGTTACCCATATATACAGTGTGAGCAACAATGATTGAAGCGTGCGTCATCACCGCTTGTTCCTATTAATATCAAAACTACCTTCTTTGTATGGAGTTGTATACGAAAATGACGTTCTGCGCTGTCACAGTGACGTGCGTCTATTCGTATTTCGTATCTTGTATCAAATCAGCATATGCTATGAGCGGCACATTGCCAATTTAGCTGAAGCGGCACGCTTCAATCTTTGTTGCTCACTCTGTATAAGATATATGTAAACACACTGACGTTTGACATTGACATATTCTGAACCGCGACGGATGTTACCAATATACGACAAATAAAAATCACCAAAAACACGTTAATAATAGTCTTCATAATTAAACTGTTTTTGATATAGAGTCGATTAGTAACGCAAAGTAGATAAAAGGTATAAAGAGAATGGTGATAAGAATATCGTATTAGTACTACCATTGACTTTATACACTATATACAAACGGAGAAATAGGGAAAAATGGCAGCCGCTTACTGTAGCGAATATTTGCGTTAAATAGGCAACTTATTAAACACATTGCAATGCACGTACTAATGATGACGTCGAATGGGACGTAAGGATTTGTGTAAAATTAATAGTTCCTTGGCGTCATTAAGGTTTGATGTGGTTTTCTGAGAAGCTGTTCACATCGTGTGCAATTAAACTTTTCGATCGCAAAGTAGATCAACTCAATCTTCCAGTAAATGTACCTAATGTTATCAACTTCAATGTCCAAGATGGAGTTTTCTAATGACGACTGAAAAAATGCAGAAGATGAACGTGATGGCGATTCTGAACATTTCGTCGAAGCAAATAACACCCACTCTTTCTTGACGATAGTATACTAACTTTTTAGTTTAATTTGTTCGAACTATGCTGAATTATATCCTGTAGTGGATTTAGATGCCGAAATCCATTCTTTTAAGGTAGATATTGTGGGCAACACGATATTTTGCCTCCAGAAATTTGTGTGTTGCCAGAGACTTGTAGTATAACTTTATGACAAACTCCTTTTCGTCTTGATGCCATGGAGGTTTAGCTTTATGCAAAATTTGCGTTCTTACTAATCCGCGCTTGTCAATGTCAATACCTGTCACTGTCACTGTGCATGCACTTGTAGGTACAATAATTATTAATGACGTAATAACAACGAGAGTGGCGCTGCGACGATTTGGTGGCCCAGCTCCATACTAACATTTCCAGCTCCATTTGTGTTGCCATTTTTTAAGCCTACACCGTTTGTCTATACTCTATAGTATATAAAGTCAATGGTACTACACATATACAGCTATGGTTACGATGATGTGTCAATTCAAGCATCCCTTTTCAGCGATAATTGCAGGACCCTCGGGGAGCGGAAAGTCTTACTTCATTGTTAGATTTCTTCAAAGTAGGTCTCAAGTGTGCTCCACGGTCATACAGGGAGCGGGGTACTAGCCCCCATGGTAAGAGGGTTACGTCCGAAGACCGGGAGGTAGCAGGACTCTCAAACTGGGCACATGAAGTTAACCAAATGAGAACCAAGAGGGTCACGCTTTTTAACGGAGGAACTGAAACAAACACAGACCAAGAATGGGAGACGGTCAAGAAGAGGCAGAGGAAGCCAAGGCGGACAGATAGCGATAAGAGATACTGGAGCGACTAGTGGCTACCAAGAAGAAGACAAGGGCCAGACCGGAAGCGGTGCTAGTTAAGCTTCGTAATGAAAACCATATGACCGACATTCTTAAGAAAATCAGGCAAATGGACATGGAGGGGGTGAGCACGAAAATCGAAGCTCAAGCGTATAGTTGCTTACATCTATTGAGGAACCGGTGTGTTCCTTAGAAAATTTTTTACTTCTGCCAGATTGGATGCAATCAAATTCCCCAGATGAATGCGGTACAGGTGTTGAAAATTTTGAAGTTGATACCGTTTATGAAGAGGGAAAACGTACTTCCGACTTGTATGTGCTGCTGATCGGCTACCAAAACACGCTCCTAGACCTTGCGCGATTATAAGTAAACACGGATCCAGCTCACCTCCCGGGATAACATTGGGTGGCTATCTACATTAACGAGAATGGCATTGGAGAATATTTCTTCATTTTGACGATCACCGCGAAACTATTATTATCATTTGAAATTTATGGAGAACAATTCTGTATACTTTCGATACAACGACATCGTGCTTCAAGATTTTTATTCGGATGTGTGTGGTCTTTACTCTGTTTAATGTACCTTTACTTTAGAGCTTTCAATATATTAATGTCAGATTTTGTAGATATTTTTACAACACGTTTAATTGAAAATGACGAGATAATTAAGTATACTACACTTGTTTTTATATATATATATATATATATATATATATATATAACCTCGAATTTTTGTTAAAAGCGCTTGAAAACGGCATGTTTTCCGATGCCGGAAAAATGAATGCATATCATCAGATATTAGATGTGATCGTGACGGGTGTACGTCTTTCCGACGCAGATCTGGGGCGTTACAATGCCTTAAGATCGACGGCCATGGACGATGCATGTAAGTGAAGCAATTTGTAATTAATTCTTTAATTTTAACACGTGAATAATTAGGACTCTGATCGGAATAAGAGATCGAGTGCAAACATTCAGTCGAAAGTTATAACGTGAAAACCACGTTTACAAAAAATAGGTAAAATATGCCAGCTAATCAGGTCGGCGCAATGGTCGTAGGTAAGTACATATAATTTATCTGTAATCAAAAGACAACTTAAACATTCCACCAAAAGAATCAAACTCATGCATTTACCCAAACACAAAGATCTTTATTCGAAATTTAAAAAAAAAGGTTTTCGTTGGCACGTAGTGAACAAAATTAATTAAATTGATATAATTGAAGCTTACATCACACAGCTTTTATGTAAATGTGGCCATATTTTTACAGGTAGCGCTGCAGATTTAGAAAGTAAGTAAGTAGTTTGAACACATCCATTCCCAATGGACAAGTAGCTACTCTAGTTACGTTAAATTAATAAATATATCGAAATCAACTTTTAAACAGCAAAAGAACAAATTTATTTCAGCTGCCAACTTTTTATCCAAAGTGGTAAGTATTTCTTCTGCACAGCAGCTTCGCTTTATTTTTAGAACTTGATCCGAAACCAAATTTTCAGAAAAACATAAACCATATAAACCCAAAAATAAAAGGCTAAAAAAATATATGTATGAATAGAACAAACGATCAGAAAAAAACTTACGACTTGGCAACAAATCCCTTTTCAAAACACCGTCTAATCGAACTCAAATTTCAAAAAACAACTCTTGGTAGGTAAGTAATTAACCTTTGACAAGATTATATTTGCAGTTTGCCAGAAATTAGCAACAAATTCTACGGCGTAATTCGTTTCACCGCAGCCGTCTTTTCGCTTTCGTAGCTATCAAGGAAGTATTGGTGCTTATTTATTGGAAATTTTTGAGTTCCTTCAAGGATTTATAGTGATATAAAATTGAATAAACGAGAAAGGTACACTGTTAAAATGTATTTATTTTACACTGTGAACATAAATTTGTTACAAAGTATCACGCGTCGAAGACACCTTCGTAAAGGTATGTTCTATTTTCAAATTTAAAGATACACAACATCTAAAAGCAAATTTTTATTAACAGATTCCACCTAGACCATCTGTAATTCGTTCTACAAAGGAGTTGTCCGCGAGTCGCGAAGCACCTATACCGTCGCTAGCGTCACCGCGTCTTCGTCGGTCTTGGATACTTCCGTAAAGGTATGTTCTATTTTCAAATTTAAAGATACACAACATCTAAAAGCAAATTTTTATTAACAGATTCCACCTAGACCATCTGTAATTCGTTCTACAAAGGAGTTGTCCGCGAGTCGCGAAGCACCTATACCGTCGCTAGCGTCACCGCGTCTTCGTCGGTCTTGGATACTTCCGTAAAGGTATGTTCTATTTTCAAATTTAAAGATACACAACATCTAAAAGCAAATTTTTATTACAGATTCCAACTGGAGCATCGGTAATTCGGCCTACCAAGAACCCATCTACCGAAGGATATCGGCATCTAGAAATTGTCGGCGAAAGCAGTCGGCCGATCAAAAAATTCAATACAATATCAAACAACATTCTGTTCCGTTTTAAAAATCCGGAAAATGTTCAGGCTCGTATGTGTGGTGCCATATGTTACGAAAATACACAATAACTGCAGGCACCGCATTTTCACCCAATAAATAACTAAGTAGGTTAATTTGTAAGTGGAGTAGATTACAAGTAGACTGTAAGTAAGGTCAAAGCGAGTGAGCAGTGTGTAACAATAAATGTAGTCGAAGATAGACCGTGTTTCCTTACAGAAGATAATAGGAGATTATCACATATGTACGTACCTACGCGTTATACACGTAAATCCTTTTTGAAATAAGCAAAATTTTAATGTTTCCTATTTCGGTTTTGCAGAATGCCCTAAACGAGCTTATAGGAAGGATTTCACAAGATGCCAATCCTTCCGATCGCGTCGGGATGACACTGACCAGCGATGGGGCACCCGATAAACCAGTCGGATTCTCATTCAGACGGGTCGACCAATTGAAGGCTGGTGTTATGATAGCAACATTGGAGAAAATTCTTCAAAGTAATGTAAGTTTTTTTCAGTGATGATACTATACGTTTGCGTGTAGATCGCGTTACTTTTCCTGTTGGTTGTGGAAAGTTCACACGTTTGAAAATGACGGGTGTTTCTTTTAACGAGTTTTGTCATCGTAAGCGTGGCATAATCCAAATAAGTAACGAGGACAACTTATGTTTAGCGAGGGCACTCGTGGTAGCAATAGCCATGGTCGATAAAGATTCGCGTCTCCGTAGTTTCAAAAATGGTCACTCCATTGTCGAACTACGGGCTCTCGAATTATGTATCGACGCGTCTGTCGATTTAAGTAATGGCGGAACTCTTGAATACGTACGTTCATTTCAAAACCATTTACGCGATTATACTATTGTCGTATATAATCATCGTCAAGGTAAAACCGTTTATTTTGAAGGACCTCGTGACCCCACGCGAAAGGTTTTAAATTTGATTTTTGACAACAATCATTATAACGTCATAGAAAATTTGACAGCAACGTTTTCCACAACATATTTCTGTGAGGTTTGCAAGACACGGGGGAACTTGCGCTGTCATAAAAATTGTCCCTATATGAGTTCTTGTAGTCATAACTAGAGACCGGATTTATATGCACAAAAAAACCTAAAAAATGCACATACATATGCACCAAAACAATTAAAAAAATGCATGAAAATATGCAGAAAAAGTCGAAAAATACTCAAAAAATTTATTTCAAAATTTCAATTTAAACATTTTTTGTATTGAAGCAATTGATTATTAAATATTGTTCCAAGTGCTCCATTTTAAAATTTGTGCGTCTATTATTTAGTATGTTGTTATATATAGAGAAACACCGTTCCACATCGACACTGGTAATTGGGGCGTACTTAAAATGAGGTACCAGATGAGCATCTATATTTAAATTATCCACACGTTCTCCGGCCAACACCTTCGCCATTTTCTGCAACTCGTTGAATCCCTCGTTTTTCAATAAAATATCATCAAGTTTCTTCGCAATCGTTTCGGCCTGACGTCCTTTAACTTCCAGTGTAGACTTTTTAAAATTGTCAACGATTTCAACAGCGGAAGTTAAACACATGCCCTGTTCCTCCAGACGTCGTATAGATTCGCTAACAAATTTGTAGTTGGCCTTTATAAATGCAAGGTTTTGCTTTAATTCTGCATTCTGTAAAACTTCTTGACATGCGTTTATGGCTTTATTACTGGTTTCAGAAAACTGAAGCACTATGGCACTAAACGATGAGTAATTGTCCGCATAATACAGTGCTGCATTTAACCACGTGCCCCATCTCGTCACAACAGGTTGTGGAGGTAAAGCAACATCAGGAAACTGTTCCTTAAACATCTGAACCCTCAATGGTGCTTTTAAAAACACTTTTTTTCCACTGTTAATTAAATCGTTAACAAGTGGAAATTGTGCTCTTATGGTTTCAGCGACCCTATTTAACCCATGCGCTAAACATGTACAGTGTATTAGGGTTGGGTAAAAAATTTTTAAATTGCGTGCAGCTTTTACCATGTATGCTGCAGCATCCGTAACCATAAGAAGAATTCGTTCTGATGGTAAAGGGTTGGGTAAAAAGAAATTCGTCAAGCCTTCGTTAATGAATCTTGAAATAGTGTCGCTATTAGTTCGTTCCAATTCTTTACAATATACTACAAAGGGTTTGGTGGGAGTGTCATTCAGGACGCCAATAAGTAAAGTTGCTATATATCTTCCACAAATATCAGTGGTTTCATCTACAGAAAACCAAATATAACTATTTCCAACAGTTTCTTTAATTTTTTCCATAGCATCTTTATACACATCCTTTAGATAATTTTTTCGCAAAGTACTCTCAGCAGGTATGTGCCGTTGACAATACTTTTCCAAGAAGTTTTTAAATAATGGGTTCTCTAACTTATGAAGGGGTATATTTGTACCCACCATTGCTGCGCAAAGGTCCTTGTAAAAAGTTGCGCTCTCTTGAGCGGTACCCGAGGACGATAAAGATTCCGAAATTGTTTGTTGCTTACTGCAACTAGCAACAAATTTCTTTGAATTATGTTTGTGGATTTCGGTTTTGACATGCTGGTCAACACTAAACTTTCTCTCGCATGCAATCTACCAGAAAAAATAGGTAGGTACTATAATTTAGTCACAACATTACAAGCAACTTACCGTCTTGGAACACGCTCTACAAAATAATCTGCTCCCGTCTAACCATAATTCGGGATAACCTCGTATCCATTCTGCTACTGAGGGCTTCGATTTAGGCATTATTGAAAGGTAGTGCACAATAAACGGAATAAACAATACACTCAATTAAAAAATAATGAATCGTAACCGTTCTTTACTTACACAACTACGAGTTTGGGAAAAGAATGAAACCTAATCCAACACCTGCTGGTGAGTAACTTTTTCTTATCTTTAAAACGCGTTATCGTAATTTATATAATATTTCTTTCTTTACAATTTTTGCTTACATTGAATTACTGCTACCTCAACATGATACTGCTGACCTAATAAACTGGAAAAGAACGCCTAGAAATCAATGATCCATTCAAATTGTCGCCACATACAGCTTCAGTTCTAGAAATTTTCATTTTATGCCAGTAAAAAACGAAAAATAGCTATTAAAATGTGTATTGGTTTAAAATATGCACAAAAACTAAAAAAATGCAAAATATGCATTATCTACATAATCTTAAAATGCTTCGCTTGTGTTAGTTCGTATAAAAATGTCATTTTGATAGCGTTGCATACAATATTTACCTCATGCCAAAAAGCATTAAATCCGGTCTCTAGTCATAACCACCATATCATACCGATAACACCGTCGTTTTTAATGAGTGTAATAGAGATTTCCGTGGCGCCCAATGTTTACAACAGCACAAAGATAGTGATCTCTGTGCTAATCTCAAAAGGTGTAAAACCTGTTTAACTAGTGTATGGAAGGATAAAGTTCCTCGTAAGTGCGGTTTTAGAAACTGTCCCACATGCAAGTCGGAAAAACCGATCCGTCATAATTGTTTTATGACCAAAAATAAGGCGGACGCTATGGATCAGGAGTGCACATATTGTGGACAGCGCGAACACATTTTCCGCACAGATCCCATCCCCGAACTGCTTTCCTACATTTCCTCGCTCACGGGGAAAGGTCGTAAAGTTGTGGCTCTAGCGCATAACGCTAAAAGTTACGACTGCCAATTTATCCTTAAAGAAATTCTTAAGAATCCATCCTCCTGGAATCCTCAACTAATCACCTCCTCCTGCGATAACAACATAAAATTCATTGATAGTCTTAATTTCCTACCCATGGCCGTATCCAAGCTACCGAAAACCTTCAACTTTCCCGAATCCCTAGGTTACTTTCAGCACTTGTTTAATACAGTTGCTAACCAAAATTATGAGGGTGTTTTACCACCCATACACTATTATGGACCGGACGAAATGTCTTCCGGAACACGCGTCGCCTTCTTAAGATGGTAAAACGATGAGATCGCACGCGGTTTTAATTTCCAAAACGAATTGATTCGTTATTGTGTACAAGACGTAACTATACTTCGGAAGGCATGTGTCGAGTTTTGGAAGAGATTTGTCCCGGAAAACGGTGTCGACCCCTTTAGATAGTGTTGTACGATTGCGGGCGCTTGTAGTTTGACCTTTCGTAGAAATTTCTTACAGGAGAACACTATTGGATTGATTCCAAACGGTGGCTATCGGTTGGCCGATAAGCAGTCTTTAATGAAAATACATTACATCTCCCCGATGATTGCCTTTGACTGTTTGTTCACTTTTCTAGTGGACTACTTTGGTTTTCTTTTTACCTAAGTATATCTAACATATCGTAATTTTATTTTTATTTTTTTCTTCTTTTTATCTTTTTTTGATTTTATTATAATTTTTAGTTTAGTTTTAGTTTAACCTAAATCTTCATACTACGTGTAACACCAGAACGTTGTATAAAAATATTATGTAGATTATTATTATACCAGAGATTGTAGACACTAATTTAGACGTTTATAAAGTCGATGATTATACATTCTTCGTCTTCCACGTTTGTGAGTCACACATTGGTATAGGTAAGTTTGTTTTGTCGTTCGTGTAAAAATATACGCACATTATTAAAACAATGACAGTTATTTTTTCTCTCATATGTTTTTGTCTTAGATTCCCAATGAAATTAAACGATTCTTGAATCAGACGATAGATGCTAACTACAGAGAACTGTACTATCGGCTCTTGTAGTTTCGATAAACATCACTACAGCATCCCACACGGAAAATTACAGGAGACTATATTTTCAACTCTTGTAATTTCAACAATTGTCGCTAGATGTCCGGCAAGTGACGACGAAGTCACGTGTCTGAAATTCAAATTTCCCCGCGCAACAAAAGGACCGACCTCCGAAAATTCAAAAATTCAAATTTATCGCGACAAAATGGCCGACATTCGGAAATTCAAATTTCCCGCGTGATGTGACGTCAGCCCACGTAATATGACGCGGTGTGACGTCGGGGTACGTCATCAGACGTGACGTCAGAGTGGAGGGGCGAACTGCCACCCTTCTACTTACATGTATCTCCATGCTCTTTGTATGCAGCCGAGATATGGGGTAGTAGAAGCCTCGATTGGCGGGTTAAAAGAATAACACTGACGGTATACAAAGGCCATTTCTATTGCGTATAGTAAAAGCGTACAACACAACTCCCACGAGGAGCCTAGAGGTGCTAGCCAATATTCCGCCCCTTTTCCTAGAATCGAAAAGAATTCACGATGACCTAGCGCTGTGCAAGGGCAATGTTGAGAAAGCGCCTTCCCCAAATAATAAAGTCCACCCGATTGATAGATGTCAGTGGGTAGATAGCGGTCCAAACACAACAATACAAATAATTTATGCCGACGGATCAAAAACTGTGGAAGCCACTAGAGCGGCTATGGTGGTTCAGTCTCATACACTTATCCGCGAAACCAGGGTTGCTGAGCTCCCCAAATATGCCACAAGCGGAAGTGGCCGGTATCGAATAATTGGCACTCGCTTATATCCACGAAAATCCCCAATCATTTATATAACTCTCGCCAGGAAAGATTTACAATCTATGATTTTCTTAAGATGCGAGCGACTTCCGGAATAGGATCGTGCCAATGTTGAACGGAAAGTTTTTTTGTTCAACACTGACACGATACTATCCCGAAGTCGCTCAGATCTTGAGAAAAACATAGATTGTAGACCGGGATCAAGTGTTTTGTGACCGACAATCTTTCCTGGCAAGAGGTTTAATAATTATACTACATTCATTATAAGAAGGTAGTAGATGGCGCCGTATTTGAAGATAAGCACACACAGGAAAAATATAAAACGGCACCAAATTATTGTAAAGTAGAAATATCCAGCACTGCAAACAGAAATAAATCTTTGACATTAACAGTTAATGACACTTCCAACAGTTTAGATGGCAACAGAAACTACCAGCTTGCAAAATTCGCCACTCGTTTTATGTTTCAGCGTAATAATGACTTGTGTTTTAACCAATCACACTGAAGGTCAAAGCTTCCCTATGTAAGTATCAAATTATCTCACAGCAAATCTACCACCGATTTGTACACCTATCAGGTGAGGACCTCCTATTTGGCGGCTTGGATGAGTGGTGCGGCCATGTCCCCAATTATGGCCAATGTATTACACCTGCTTGACTATGTGCCACCCACCACCACGCTAGAACCGCTACTGCGTAGAGCGGTAGCCTCTTGTTTTGTGTGGTTTATGGGGGTGAGCATCGAAACACGCATGGCATGCGGACAGACCTGGGTGGGGCCACGTGGCTCTGACCCAGATGCCGCTGACACGCTACATGCGTTAGCCTAGCCCAAAATATAACACCCGTGACCTGGAATCCACTAGTAATAGACAACATCCTGGCTGTCCGCCCCCGAGAATGGGGCATATGCGCCCCATCACCAAAGGCTGACTTCAGCCACGAGGTCCGGCTCAACGGACCAAATAACCAACAAGGATGGTGGTCTGTACTGGGTTCCTCCGATTATGCGGCACGGGCCTCATCTGGCGCACCCTACATGCTTGCAGAGTATGGTGTGTTCGGGGCTAACGTCATAGCACAATACCTAAGGCCTGCATTAATACCCACCCTCCTATCGCAGACCGCCCTGTCTTGGGCTAGGGGTACTGCCCCCATCCAAGCCGCCCCAGCGCCATTACCAGGCGCCATCTACCTCCAGGCATTAGCCACGTTCCAGCCGTGTTCAATAATGACATATGATGCTGACATGGCTACCATTATGGCCCCCGCCTTGGTGGGGAACGAGCTGGCTGCCAACAATAGGATGGCCCTCAGACTCGTAAAAGGCACACAGCCCCAAACAGCCGGGCTGTCTTTCGGCCTCTACTCGATGGCCACCTCCATGGACACCATGGACTTTGAGGCACCCCCAGGGCTGGCTATGCCCCCAACTCCCTCCGAGCTTCCGCCTGTCATTACCGACGCGGCTGAAACGTCGGTCCCTCTTTAAGCGTACTGCTCGCTGGCCCCGCTTGGGCAGTACGCTTTGGTTTGGGGAGTGCGAATTAGCCTACCTAGGGGCGGAACATACCCCGCGTACTCAAACGCCGGCCCAGGTCTACCTCCTACATAGCCGGCTGGCGGCACTGATGCAGAGCCACTTCGCGTCAGGCCTATCAGGGGGACATAAGGCCAACAATATAGGATGTGGGTTCCCTCGACTGTGGTTTCTTAGCTGGGGGGGTGGCGGTACATATATATCTAAAAATAAAAAAAGAGCGTAGAGAACGGAAAAATTGTTACCTATGGTAGGCGGACAGATCTTTCTCTCGAAGCAGAAAAACCTCTGGTTAACTGAATTCAGTGTTTGGAGAAATGGGGATTTGGGCTATCGAGAAAGGAAATATTAGAATTCCCTAGCGATTATGCGAAGTCAAACAATATCAAAACCAAATTTAAGAATGGAGTGCCAGAGGAGGACTGATTCCTCAATTTTAAACGTCGCCATAATCTTTCAATAAAGACACCCCAAAGTGTAGAATTTGCTCGAAAAAAGAATGTAACGGGTTTTCCAATAAGAGGTGTTATTTTGATATTCAAAAGAAAATGCCATTTTTTAAGATAAATGGTCGGATATTTATTACATTATAAAGAGGAAGGTATGCCGTTAATAATGGAAAATAACATCAGCTAAATGACCACCATGACCACGCCTACAGGACCATACCCTTTTCATGAAATTTTCCATAACCATATGGCAAAGTGGCTGCCCTATGTCCTCGATAGCCTCACGAATTCCATCTTTGAGGTCTTGAATCGATGCTGGGCTGTTGGCGTAGACCTTATCTTTCACGTGGCCCGAAAGGAAGAAGTCCCAAGGTGTCATATCACAAGATCTCGGTGGACAATTGTGATCACCTCTTCGAGAGGTGACCCGGCCCGGAAACTTTTCCCGTAAAAGGTCAATGGTTTCGTTATTTGTGTTTGTGTTGAAGCGTGTATCGTTCCATTTTTATTAATGGCGTAGTTTCTACTTGTCCAATGTCAAAAAATGACAGCTTCAAAACTGACATCTACCGAAATAGCGGGCTATTCAAAATAACCTCTTATTGGAAAACCCGTTAGTATTGGAGACAACATTAAGAGCTTGGTCTAGAAAATAATCCATTCCAAATATGGAACATGGACGATAACAGCTTTTGTTCTGATCCTAGCAAGACAAAAATTGATGGTAAGCGTGGAGTTTCCTCTACTCGTAGTGGTCCTGGGAAATAGAACACTACTGTTC